ATTACCACCATCACCGAGATTGGGATCGTCTTCCCTCGGTGGAGGCACACCGCCGAACTTGGTGTTGGTGTCAACCTCTAGGCCTGCGAGAACCAGGGCAGTCCGCGCACCAAACGGGCTTGGCAGGCGAATTGATTTTACCGCGGCAGCGCTTGCGAAACAAACAACCACCTGAGCGGGCGCCGCAAATAAAGCGTTCGCCCACGGTCCGCCTCATGCGCCAAGGTGCTGGGGCGCCGACAGCGGACGGGCCAGGGGCGAGAGCAACTGCGCCGCGGCCGATGGGTGGGAAGGGCGGGGCAGGGCGCATGAGGAGGCGTCAGAGAAAAGTGTGCGAAGGGGTCATCTCTCGATCCATCATGGGCCGTCCTGCTCATGTGTCCAAGGTGACGAGCCAATGTTCGCAAAGGCTTGCGCCTCTGAGACATTCCCGCGCCCATGCCGCGCCCCCCCGCGCCCGTACCTTGGCCTTCGCACCCAGGCCCCTCCCCCGCCTCGTTCTGCCAACCGCAGGGCCCTCCGCCCAGGGCACCTCCCCGCGCACGCCTCAACTTTCCGCGATTGCTCCCCCGAGCCCAAACCTGCTGACCCAGCAACGCGCTTGCGAGTGTGATCGAGAAGGCAGCGCGATGTGTCGCCGCCGTGCACTTCCTCATATCCGCGCGGCCCTGGCCGTCTCCCAAGATTCGGGGCAACGTGCTCGCGAGCCAGATTCTCGCGCATACCCTGCGCCAAGTTCGTGACAAAGTGCGCGAGCCCCGATCCAACGAATTGAGTCTCGATGAGGCTTACGCGTGTAAAGCAAGTTGGGGCGTCTGCGCGGACACAAGCGGGGAAACACGTGTGCCTTACTGTTGAGGGGCGTGTAAGATTTCTGGGGTGGATGTTCTGTTTTGTGTCTGATGGTTTGGGGGTGGCTGTCAATCCATGTAGAATAGACTTTGATGTTGTGTGTGCGCTTTGGCTCTCTGGTCGGGATCTGTATATCGCCCGATCGATGTTGGGACTAGCTGGGAATGAGTTCAGGGCGATTCCTATGCAGTTCACAATCTGGATGAGGGTAGTTGTGTTGGTGGAGTGGTGTGAGGTGTTAGTCTGGTGGTGTCGTATTGGGTTAGTCTTGCCGATGTTTGTGTTGGGTGGTTATGTTTATGCTGTTTAGGGGTCAGGTTGGTGCCATTGTTGGCAATTCAGATAAATATGAGGCTTTCCCTTTGCAGGCTGAAACTATTGGGGGAATTAGCAAAGCGTGCGTCAGCCCCATTGAGCACACTGGGAGCACCAGCAGCTCAGCAGAATCATGCAGAATTCAACGCGACAACAAAACATGAGTGGAACTCACGCACGTTGCACTCGTCAGGTTCATGGGCGTTTCCGTTGCAGCTTGCCGCACACAGATGCTAGCAGAAAGCGGCGCATCAGCAAATCAAACACTTGACGCGAAGATCATGCGATTTGGCACGGCTACCATGGCGGGAGTCGGGGACCCCCCGAATGGCCCCAGCATGATAAATGCGAGATAGGCGCCCTTCGAGGATTCCACACTTCCCAAATGGGGCAGAAGAAGATGGGGCAGCCGATGCATCGCCGGTGCACCGGCGACGTCGCGACAGAGAGCATCAGACTCCGGATCGCGCCGCATCCTTCTGCCACATCTCATTTGGCCCCATCGGGGGGGTCTGGATTCTTCTTTGACTAATCGTCCTCACCTCCTGACCGACTTCCCTCCTCCTCCTCCTCCTCGTCCTCAGTTTGCTCTCCCCAGCCTTCTCTTCATCCTCAATCCATCCTCACCCTCCCACACCCTCTATTGCTCTTCCTCAATCCGCCTTGCTATCCTCCGTCCTCGCTACTCCTCCTCACACCAACCTCTTCATCCTCATCGTCCTCCTCATCCCACTCCAGCCCCCCCATCCAAATGTTCCCCCCGCACCCGTCCTCTTCCAGCTCCTGCTGCTGCTGCTGCCCCTCCTCCTTCACCCCCTCGGCGCCCTCCTCGGCGCCCTCCCCGACGCCATCCTTCTTCACCCCCTCGGCGCCCTCCTTCCGATCCTTCAACTCCTCCCTCCCCGTCCCCCTCTGCTCCTCCTCCTCCTCCTCCTCCCCCTCCTCCTCCTCCTCCTCTTCCTCCTCCTCCTCCTCCCCCTCCTCCTCCTCCTCCCCCTCCTCCTCCTCCTCCTCCTCATCCTCCTCCTCCGTAACCATTTTGACTCAAGCCGTGTTCCCCGCTTTCTCCGCAGCCTTTTCGCCCATGGTCGGCGGCGGCTCGGCGGCGGCGGCGGCTCGGCGGCGGCGGCGGCAGGAACGCCTTGGTTGGCTGCAGGGGGCTACCCGAGTGCGCGGCGGCCCAGCGCTTTGCGTGCCGCCGACATCGTCGCCCTCGGCCCGACGGCGGCTCGACGCGCTGCTCATCGGCGCCTTCGGGACGCTCTCGGTGCTGCGCTGCGCGCCCGTGCTTGCGTCGGAAAGCCAGGCTCCTGGGGCAAGACAGGGAGCTGGC